ATGTGAGCAAAAACCAAATATACAAACAGACAGCGCAAAGGTAAAACAGCCTACTTACATAAGAAACACATGTAAGTAGGCTGTTTTACTTTTGCGCTGTCTGTTTGTATATTTGGTTTTTGCTCACATAAATTTGTATTCGTCTTTTTGCAGAATATTCTGTATGTTATTGTTTTCTTCTTAGGCCGTCATATAAGTGTACCTCAATTTATTCATCATTTTTGTTTTTGTGAAATACATTCGCCAGAATAATTAGAGACAATCAAAAATGAATGAGGCACATATACTCTATGTATAATGAATGCAAAATTCATTCAAATGCAATAGCCCAACTAGAAGATTGCAATGTACTCATCTTTTCACGCTAATGCAATTTTTATGAAATCCACACATTTTTTAAGTACACTTTCCGTTAACTGATTCACGTAGAAACGATAATATTCACATCAACATCATTCGATTGATTCAACGTATTCAAATATTTCAATTCATTTAATTTTTTTGCTAAATTTAAATCTGCGATGAATATGTTCAGAGTATGGATTTTACACAAATAAATACTATAAATCTAATTGTATATATTTTGGACTAACCTTCATTAAAATAAATTTTTGGTCATCTTGCAATGTTGGGGATTTTTTTAACGGTGCCATTATATTTTCTTCTCTTGAGATGTACCAATTTTCACACTTCGAATCGGAATAATTTATGGACGTTTTGTCAAAAGCATTACTTGCTGCGCGCGGTTCGTCGGACGTTGTTTACACGTTTCAAATTGAATCGACAGTGTTCAATTTTGGTAAAACAAAAGTCTATCCAATAACCTTTTGTGGTTTTTATTCTTCAGGTTTTTGTTTGTTCGTTAATTAGTTGTTTATTTGTTTACTCAACAATTTATAGCAATTAATGTTTTGATTTTGCAAATTTCAATTGAAATATATAAACGTGTTTGCGCGCATAACAATAAGTTATGGTGTGAAATATGATCGCGTTTAAATATGATTTATAAGCACACTTATCGAAGCGATTTCCCTTTCAACACGTTGAAAATGCACACATTAAAATTTATTGACAACCATACACAAAATTATTTTTATGCTTTTTTTGCATCAATATGTACAAAAATGTGGAACATCGACAAAATAATCGACAGTCCACACTGCAATTATCCAAGCACGAAGTGTGAACAAATAATACTGTGGAGGTAAAGAAAATAATAGACATTGATCAAAATAAAAAGAATGGATCTTTATGAATGCGAAATCGAAAGGTTAATTAAAAAAAACAATCAGACGTTAACCACTTTAAAAAAATGCAATGTGACACCAGAATTAAACGAAATGGAAACAGAGAAAAAAAGAATCGAAACGAAAAAAATACAACGACTTGTATGTTTGCACTCTGCCTGCATGCCAGCCGATTTGATGATCAGACTCAAACTGATTGAAAAGATCGCGAGAACTACGAACAAAAATGAATACCAAGAAAACCACGAGGCATGAGAGAAGCGATGAGAATTATTCGCTTCAAACAAGTGAATAATATACCTGTGTATTTGTGAGATAGAGCGTATAAGTTAAGTACTTGTACTGTGCGCTTTGCATTGTACTAAGAGAGGTTACTTCAATGAGCGCTGTATGAATAGAGTGGCCACATCTCCAATATTCAGTAGAATGATATATATTTTCAAAAAAATATCCTATATTCTTTTAACAATTCTAATATCTCTATAAAAAAGTAAATGAAAACATTCTTCTCTGATTCGAAAATAAAAAGAGACACATTTCAAGAGCCATTTACCAACTTCCGAATGCATAAACCTCATGTAAGTCCAGCGTTTGGTCGGTTAGTTAAATATTTTCACCTTGAAAGACATATTATATTTTATACTTTCGTAAAGCTGGATATATAAATTACACGAACTCGTCTATCTCGTAAGTTTTAAATACAAATAGTTTTTTATTCATTTTTTCTTCAAATTTGCGACTTTATGTGCAATACATGAGCTTGTGAGCGAATGAACGGGCACAATTCTGCGAGTTTGGTGATTGTGCGGCGCATGTTTATGTTAAATATACATAGATCAATCATACAATGACAATTTATGATTTCAAAACACCCTATTGGCTGTTTAATTTTTGTTCAGTATTTATATTGAAAATCGGAAGAATTGAAAAATCAAGTCAAAATTAAGCAAATCAATTGTTAAGTTGGTTTTGATGAGTTGATCTTTGATGAATAGTAAACAGCTTCAATTAGCTGCACACAGTTAAATGATTCTTTAGAAACTTTTGTAATTGAAACGACCAATTTTTAAAATCTATTCGTGAATTTTAACATTGAACCCGATTTTCACAGAAGAGAGTAAAATGGTGCCGACAACACAATCATACACTAGCAATAAACGCGTTTGTGTATCACATTTTATACCACACATTTTAATTCAAGTTTCTCAATTGGTACAAGGCATGACATCGCGTAGAAATTACGAAAAGTGAAAATGTCAATAACCAACCCGTGAGTTTCTGACGAAAAGAAAAGTGAAACAGACAGAATAGAACACATACGTAAATTGTAAATTAAATCATAAAAAGCATCGGTCTTGTTGTCCCAGGTTTAAACCGGTTCAAATAGTTGAATCCGCAAAGAAATCTGCAAATTTACATCCACATTTCAGGTAGTCACATGCAATCAAGAGAAACCATTGAAAGATGCACATAACGCGGGCCACATGCAAGCATAATATTTGGAATTTATATGAGAAAATGGAATGAGGCTTTCGGATCAATCGATTCATTTTTTATGTTTTATTACCACCACATACGTACACATTTTTTGTGCAGTTGTGCGGCCAACTTACTAGGTTTTTATATGAAACCTGAAATGCGTTGCTCTTGCTGCTTGAAGATTTTACGATCAATGATTATGCAATTAATTCTGATTCAATAATGGGCAATTTTATTAAAATATGTTGGATGAATAGCTAAATTGGTTGAAAATTAAATTGGATGAATACTTTCATTTTTAACAACGGTATTCGATAATTAAAAAAGTTAATTTCAATAGACAGAGAATACTATAGCGTAAAACACCATTATTTTTTTTTTGCTTTGCTCAAAATACTCGTTAGTATGCGTTCAGGCGTACATAAATTATAATTAAGAATATGTTTAAGTGCAATATCATTTATGCCACCAATATAATTTTTCCTTAAAAATCGTACGAGAAACAGTGTATTAAACATTAAATCGAAGTAAGGCCATTTTATGTGTTATTTCTTCGATATCGATGTTGGTTTTCTGCTTTTTCATTATAATACAGCAAAAATTCTTGGCCAACTGAAAAAGTGATTGAGACGGTTTGACATTGTCCTGGCCTATATATATGGTGAACAGAAAACATACAATAAATTATATAGGAATTTCGAGAAAATCGTATTTACATATTTATAATTTGTTTTATAGTTACCGATGACATCATCAGCATAGTTATTCCAGTCATTAAAATCAGTCAAGTACGATGGCGTGTCCTTTTCAGTGTTTGAAGAATTGTCGATCATTTCCGAATCCCCATTGCCATTTATAACTTCCATATCCATTTCATAATCCATTTGAGGCATCACTAGGTTATGAAATGCGATTGATATGAGAAATTCAGATGGTAGTAGATTAAACAATGAATGTGACGTACTTATTGGTTCAACCTCAATCATTTCAACATCAATGATAGGCGAATCGGGCAATGTATGTTTCTCACACTTTTTTTCCGATTTTTTTTTTCCAAACTTTCGCAACTTGTTCTTGATCCGTTCTGATAACTGCTGAACACGAGTCAAGCTATTTTGAGCTTCGACAATGAAGCTGGATTGAATGACAGCACGATGATGGTGGATTGTGTTGTACATCAAAACTTCACAGCACATGAGACATACCTTTGTTGAAAACACATCAACTGCATTGATCTAATGATAGAAAATTATTTTGAAAATGTACGAATATAACGCAAATCTAGAAATTTTGAAAAAAAAAAATACTTACATCGATGTTGTAAACCATTTTAATGGTATCGTTGAACTCTTTATCAAGTGCACAATCAATATAAAACGTATTGAGCGGCATCAAGCAAAGCCGACAGATTTCAGTAATATCGCTAAAAGTCATTTTTCGGTTTTTTCACAAATTTTTCTATGCTTATCCAAACATGGCGAGTCAATTATCCCTATTTTCGATTTGATTTTCACAATTCCAATTGTGCTATGTAACGTGTTGTACGTATTTTGTGTGATAAATATCGACAATAAAGCCGATTGTATGATAGAAAAAGTCACTGGAATTTCCGGCAAAAGAATTTCACCATTTCTCATTTTGACAAACAAATACAAAATACAATCTTTATTCAACAGGATATTTCGATTATTGAACTTAAGCATAAATGTTTCTCTAACAATGATTTCCATTCAATAATTCAAAGGCTAGTTTATTAAAACAATATTGACTTTAAGCCGCTGCTACCGATACATCCATGCGATTCTCTCCTACTATTATTATGTGTGCGCGTATCATTTACTGTTTTAGAGAGTGTGTGTTTGCGTGATGTTTACCGATCCTATGTGATGACAGTTGGTGCGTCTCTACCGGTGAATTGTGGCAACTGAGAAATTTCTAATGCAATTTGAATAAGCGGTTCAAGCATTTGACTTGCAAAACCCAATACATTGTCTTTTTCATATGAATCGATGTACAATCTGAAATGAATAAATGTAAATTCGATTAGAATGTTTCAAATAAATAAAAAAAAATCGTTTTGATCAAATGTACCGAACGGTTGCACCAGAACTTCCCGTTCCACTAAGTCTCATAACAATACGGCTACCGTCTTCGAATACAATTCTCAAACCCTTAAAAACACCACAAAGGAGTATATTAAAAAAAAATTGGAGAATTTCTACATTTTCGTTATAATTTTCGTACTTGTTTAGTTGAAACTGATTGGTCAACTGGATCAGTGTAGCTGAAGTTGTCAGCGATTTTAGTTTTATATGTTTTTCCGCCTGATGAGTATTCTTTCCCAATAAACGATGGTTCGGTAATGGTCTTTTCAAGTGTCGCCATCATTTCGTTGCAGGGTTCAAGTGGACATTCTTCATAATCGTAACGTGTAAAATAGTTTCGTCCATAAGTTGCCCAATGTTGTTTCAATATCTCTTCAACACCTTTTCCCGTGTGTTCCATCACAGAAAGCCAAGCAAGACATGCCCAAATGCCATCCTTTTCACGAATATGATTCGAACCGGTTCTGAATGATTCACGCATAGAAAAAATGTTACGTAATGGAAATAAGAGAATGACAAATAAATTTACCCGAAACTTTCTTCACCGCACAAACACAAAAGACCAGCATCCATTAAGTTTCCAAAGTATTTCCATCCAGTTGGTACTTCGAAGCATTCCTTATTTTGTTTGGAAGCAACGAGATCTACAGCTGCTGCAGTTGGCATACTTCTTGCAAATCCAGTAACACCATTCCTTTTAAAGTATGGAATACATTCGAGATAGTGGGCAATGATCTAAAATAAGCAAACGAAAAATTTTATAGAATTATCACTGAAGAACAGAATGAACACATCAAGAATTGAGGTTAAACGTACAGCTAATGAATCGCTTGGAGTAACAAAAAATGAGTTTCTTCCAATGATCATGTTTCTATCACCATCACCATCAAATGCAGCGCCCAAATCATAGTCACCGTTTTTAACCGTTTCAACGAGATCGGCTGCATATGTAAGATTTGGATCTGGGTGTAATCCACCGAAATCTTCCAATGGTGTTGTATGTACAACATTATCCGGAGTTGCGCCCAAGCAATTAAGAAAGATTTCGTTTACATAAGGGCCGGTAACTGTTATCAAAAGATAAAATTGTGTTTTTTATCCAGCAATTTGAGAGATAAATATGAGGATGTATCACATACCTCCGTTTAATGAATCGATGCGAAGTTTCAATGGTGAACCAATTTTTTTTCCACTGACAAAGACTTTCAAGCAATCAAAATCGAAAATCTCCTTCATAAGACACACATAATCAGCGACTGGATCGATGATTTCCACACTGAATGGCATTCCATTGACGCTATAGCTGTTAACACCTAATTTTGTTAAATCAATTTCCAGTCCCTCGACGATTTTATACTGAACAATTTTTGTTGACAGCTTGTAGATTTTATTTGTAACATTATCTGGAGCTGGTCCACCATTCTCACAATTAAATTTTATGCCAAAATCATTGTCTGGACCGCCGGGATTGTGTGAGGCTGTCAATAGAATACCACCATAAGCTTTGTTATGGCGAATTAAGCTTGATACAGCTGGAGTTGATAGAATGGCATCTTTTCCAATATATAACTTTGAAACTCCATTCGCAGCACAGATTCGGACAATAATTTCGGCGGCTTTTTTACAGAAGAAACGTCCATCGCCACCAACAACCAATGAAGAACCAGCAACAGCACCTTCACTCGAATCCAAAATACACTGGATGAAATTTTCTGTATAATTTTCAGCTTGGAAAGCTTTCACCTAAGCCGGAAGAGTTAACGACCAAAAAATGAATAAGTTTTAAGAGTTTGAATTGTTTACATCGATTTACATTGAACATGTATTATAATATTACGTTGATAAAATGTGACAAACCTTCTTTCTCAAACCACTAGTGCCAGGTTTTTGACCATCATATGGTTTAGTTGACACCGATTTCACAACCAAACTCATTTTTTTGAAATAATTCAACACTTTGAAGAAGATGATTCGATTTAGATTGGTGAAAACTTACTTTCAAACGATTATGAACCAAAACTAGATCAGCGAAAACGTCTGTGTTTTTTTATGTAATTTACAAACGGCAATTGTTTCTCCCATTCGTTTTGAATTCACGAACCTGACTGTCAGCGTTGTGTTGATATTGATAACTTTGAAAGACGAATTAAGGTCATCTAAAAAAATCATAACAACATAACCTAATAGCCGAGCCGATAAGAGCTGTTTTAATTTCCGTGCACCGTTTTTTCTTCATTATGACTTTGTTTGACACAGTATTAAATAATCATTCAGAGACTGTTTGTTCATACCGATCGTATATTGAATTAGGAAATATATTATTTACTTCGTTTGAATCGTTTTATTTATTTTGATTTTATTGCGAACGACGTTGTTTGAACAACTGTCACAAAGCGAACGAAGTACTAGATGAAGAAAAAATCGGTCATACAGCACACATACTAAACTGATCCGCGATGAACTGATTTATTTTAATGGCATTTTAATTGAATTAAACTTCAAATTGTAAATATCATCGTATTTGTATTTCGCATTTTTCAATGGAACAAAAGAAGTTTGCCATTAACAACCATTTGTCAATTTAAGTTGAATTTAATATAATATTGGGGACATTTCATTTTATCCGTATCCACTTATGTTTTCCAAAACTTTTTTAGCTTTACCAATTTCTGAACTTTAAACTTTTTTATTCAAAAAAATATATCCTGATTTTAATTCAATTCTTAAACCTACAAAGAAAAATTGTAAACAGAATTTTTGTTAAAGAAATTAACTCAATCCAATTGCAGCAAGTAATTAGAATCGAATTCATTCGAATATGGTTGATCTCAGTCCAACTGTGCTTGTATTGTTAGCTGTATGACTCATGTCTCGATTCAATCGGGAATGTATTGATGCGTTTCCCGAATTATATCTTAAATCATATTTGGTTCAACGATTAAAGTCGAAGCAAATATTTCTACTTAAACTGTGTTCTGGATTCTGTGTTCACATGTGCTTAAGTAACTGAAGCACTGAAATCAACGTGTATAAGATTCATATACATACTCGTCCATATGCACCAATAAGACATATCCGTTTATGCCTCATATGAGTGTTTTGTATCGTAAACATAAACAACTGCTCATTCATACTACTTACATGTTATATTATCATTAAAATTATTCCACTTCTTTCTCTTGAAGCTCTTTTTCAACCAAATACAACTAACCATGAATGCATGTCATTTTTACTGTTAAGTGTAAAATCAAAAACAATTTCAATCCTTGTTTTTTGATTAAAATTTATGCACAATGCTGTCAGAAAGTTTGGACTCATGTGACAAAATGTACTGTTTTTATAGTGTTTTAACTTATTCAATGAAATTCATTGAAATTCGAGAAGATGTCTAATTACTTGAATCCATATCTCAAATGAACAGGCATTTCTACATTTGCTAGGGATTTTCACACGAAAGTGAAGACCTTTTTTTTGCTTTTCAAATTGTGAGATGGAGAAAATTCTTTGAATTTGCTAAGGTGTTTTACTGACAAAAAACAACACACCCCCATCCGTACATTTTTTTCGTGCCCATGTATGCTTACAAATCACAGTTCAGCACTGTAGCATTGCATATAAGTTTAGCATCTCACTCATATATAAAAATGAAATCTATATAAATAATAAATTTTGTATGCTATATGAATTACGATGTCTTCTCTGGAAAAGTGAAGATCTTTTTTTCAGTGATGGTTCTTTCACACCGCACGCGCAGCACACTTTTTTTGTACCACACACAGTGGCGTGAGGTGAACGCATTGAAGCAGCAGGTGAGCAGCAATGCTGTACAGACGCTGCGAATATCTAGCGCTATTCAGACAGCAAAAACTTTGTTTTGATTGACTTTGTTTTTTATTTTTTTAATTCAAAAAACGCAACGTTTGCCAAGAATTCGTACACAGAAATAAGTATTCGAGTACGCTTACTCGCACTTGCGGTGTTAGTAGAGACTTTACCCCTCAAAATGAGTTACGCACTCTATTTCACTCTATTTTTGGTGTTAGTTTCATCGAACGTATGTGACGATACACTTAGCAATCGTATATACACAGACTCATATGCACGCAACGAAACATAACTCGTTGAACGCATGCGGCAACGTACATATGAATGCCCGAGAATGAATGTGAGACTTCTCCTGAGAGTTTATTGAAATGTAACACCGCCATACAAAAATTGCTGACAGTCTCACATTCATTCTCGGACAATCATATCTATTGAATATATCGAGAAGAGAGTATGTTATTCAGCGCTTATGGCTGAGTAATGTCTGAATAAAAACATACTCTCCTCTCGATATTTTCAATAGATATGTACTACACATGTACCTCTTTTTTCACTGTGATGCGTTTAATTCGATGAAACTAACACCAAAAATAGAGTTAAATAGAGTGCGTAACACATTTCGAGGGATAAAGCCTCTACTAACACCGCAAGTGCGAGTAAGCGTACTCGAATACTTGTTTCTGTGTACCAATACAATATATCCCATATTAAATTTTTGTCCTCTTAGAACGTTTAACTCTGTCTACAACTACAAACAACACACTGAGAAGAAAAAAATGGCTTTAATTTTGTGTAAATATTTGTAAATGTTGACTATTGTAAAAATTGCTTTGATATTGCTTTGTAAATATTCAGAATTACCTCATAGCACCTCATAATTACCTGCATGCAAGTGAATTAATTAAAGGCCATAACAAGTACTTAGCGGATGAAATTTGGACATAAAACGGCTGAAACGTGCGTGTAAAAGTCAAAATAAAAACTAGAACAAAGCCGAATATCACAAAAGTGATATGATTTTTTTGTTCGACTTAATGACAGAAAACCCGTTCAAACACTATTAAAGTCGTTTTTTTTGTTAAAGTTGCTGGAAATGCATTGCGGCACGGAATTTATCGCTGTACGATTAAACAAAATTCATGATGTGTTACACAAATGGGTATCGGTAATGGGCTGGTGAAAATTGTTACGTACTGATTTTCTGTTTGAATTATGTATTTGTGTCACCATCAATTTACACGTATAGTGTGAATCCGTATATTTATAAAAACAATTGTGTGAGTCAATCGTTATCAAAAGCATATAACTGATAGTTTCAAAAATAAAACAATTTCGGGAATGCAGATAATCATTTTCAAGTTTTAGTGAGTCACGTTTATGTGCACCTTGTGCGGCCATTTCTCTATCACTCGCCGGCATTTAACCATGTTTCCATTTTATTCTCGTTATAGCACACCTAATTGCTTATCACTTTGACTTGTGTTTAGCAAAAACAAATGTAAAAAGGGAAACATACAAAAAACAGGTAGAATTTGTTGGTTATTTTTTTTTAAATAGTTATATTTGCTAGTATATTTTTTAAGTGCTTTTGTAGTTATATTGTTATTTTTCGTTTAAATTCATGATTATTTGAGATGAATAGATACCTATATCCATATATTTCCTATAACAAATGAATGGAATTCAGTTTATTAACCATATGTGCGGATTGGTCATTGTATTTTGATTTGAACAATACGGATGTACCATGTGTTAAATGCGCAGTATCCACATATTGTGTGTTCTATAAATCTTATCATAGTGTTCGCATATACCTTGTCTGAGTGCAATTACGATGATGTAATGTCTGGTAACGAAAGAATTTATCCTTATTCATGTGTTGCTTTTTCTTATTCAAAAGCTGAAGCGTGAGATGCTTCCTTCGAATTCGCATTCGATAAACGTTTATGCACTTGAAATGCCATTTCCTTTTGACTATTCTTAATTCGTTAAGGAGACACTGTCCTAGACATCAAACTTGAAAAAAGAGATAGGCAAAATAACACTGAGAGAATGCATAAAAATGACTCATGCGTAAATTGTTCTGTTGTTGTTGTGAATATTTCGTCTGATTCAACCTTTTAAAATGAACTTCGAACCTTTTTTACTTTTATTATTTGATTTGCTGCTGCTGTTTGCTACGATCGACAATTTAAAGTGGTCTACAATTAAAGCATGTGTCAATGAATTTTTACTATTTTTCCTTGGGGGGGATAAGCTTGAAAAATTACTATTGAATTATTTTGATTATTTGTCAAATTCAAATCAAAAGAATGGATACCTATTTTTTGATTGTGAAAACTCAAAATTTCTCGTTTTCTTGCGCATTTTGCTGATTGAAATTTAATACAATGAGTTTTGGATAGATCCATAAGATCTCCGCAAGATTGCGGGGTTTATCCTCCCCCCACTGTGATTTGGACGAGAAAGTTTTTTCGCGAAAATTATTCGAATTTGCTAGGGTTTTTGATTCAAAAAGTGAAGACCTTTTTTTTAGCTCATTAATGTAGAAACTTGAGGAGAATTCTTTCAATTTGCTAGGGTTTTTCGTGGAGAAAATTCTTTTGATATGCTAGGGATTTTCGCCACAAAAAGTGACTTCCAAAAAAAACGAAAATTTGTCTGATTTGCTTGAGAATTTTTTGGTTTCGAAAAATCACCTCCTCTTGAAAAATGTTCCTCGCACACTACTGGTCTATGTAAATGTTTTTTATTCTCTTCGATTTTTCGTATACCTCTTGATAGTTTTATACAGTATATTTCCCATCACTGTTGAACACGACTCTCACTTACGTTGTATACTGACAATGTATTTGAACGCGACTCGAATTAAGAAGCGCCATCTCTATCTCGCCAGATTCTATTTTTTTTCTTGCAAACAAAATTGCAAAATTGTATAAATTGAATAAGTTTTGCAATAGTAATAACGAAAATAATTAATAGAATTTATTATAAATAAAAAAATGGATAAACACACAAATATTCTATATTATATGGTTCTCGTGTTATGAGGTAGCTTTGCCTTGTAGACCATGTAGAGATGATTACGTAAAGAAAATATGTATTTGTCAAACATTGATATCTGTCAAAAAAAAAACGTAAACAACACGAAGTGAATATTTTTCTGGTGAACTATCGGTATTATTATTATAAATATTACAAACTAATGCATTATATTTACGGTATTCACGAGAATAAAAGAAGCGATAAGATTACTGCCTAAAATGATAAAAAATAAAATTCACGTATAGTTGGCGCTACATTCTATGTAAT